CTTAGCCACTAACAACTAAACTTTTAGCAATCTCCTTCATTTTCTTAACATAATCTCCTATAGTAAGACTCCCTTTCTATGTCGTTTGAAGCAAATTTTTGAGATGTAAAGCTCTAACTTTTGAATCAGTAATAAACTCACTCCCTAAGGCAAACCAGATTTCAATTGAGAAACGACATTTTGATACATAACTGAACATATCCTCTGAAATAGAAGCTAATAGCCAACTCACTAAGCATTTGTCTGTTTTCTTCTACTTAATATATGTTGGATTCACTGTTTGCCCTAGGTTCAGTACCAATTGAATTTTGTTCATGGTCAATTACAGGACCACATGGTATAAGAGGTGAAGGACAAGGAGATCTACCTAGTAGATGATCCTCTAACTCATGTGATCCAAATGTGAAAAGAACTTGAGAGCTCCAAAATCTATAATTGTTTATTGTTAGCTTTGGGCTCATGATATGTAGACTTGAAGCAAGAACGAAGATAATTCGATGTGATGATGCACAGAGCATTCCTTCTACGCTGTTAAGCGATTGAAACGACGAAGAATCTTTAGCCATTGACATAAGTCAGGGCTCTGATACCATGTGAGAAAAGTCGAGAAAGAGCAAGAATTTGAGAAGAAAAACAGAGGAAGAATACTATTTTTATTAATTTATGCTTAACTGATTTTTAACTCAAGTGTCTGAGTTTATATACAAGCTCAGTTTATGAGCTGAATTGACCTAATAAATATAACAACCATAAATCAAAACTACGCCTTTTACATAAAAGCAACCTACTCCTTAAACTACGTCGTTTACATAAAAAAGCCTACTCCTTCTAGCTTTCATTCCTGGCATTTTAACCCATTAACTTTGCATAGTCAACAGCCTCGATGATGCCTCTGCCTATCTAGCTTATGATCTAATCATATGATGGGATGATGCATCTATGCTTCTACCTAACTAGCTTTTTTTACTCGCAATATGATGATGCCTTTGTGGTTTTTGATCTATGTCTCTGCCTAATTGGTTTCTGAACTGATTGTCTAATATAATTATCATTTGATATGATCTCCTTTGCCTAATTGGCTTTGATAACACTTGTAATAAATTTTAAAATAACATATAATAATATAATATATACCAACATAATCAAGCAACACAACATAAGAGGGAGGAAGAAAATATGTCGTCACACTATTTTCTTCTCACACATAAACTAACAAATACACTCTTTTATAGGAGCTAAGCCCTAATTCTAATAAAACTAGGAATCCTAACATTGAAACAATTAAATCAAACCCTAGCACTATCTATTTAGATGACTTCTATCAAGATTACAATAGTTAACAACGTAAGACTTTTAGTAAAACTGATATGCTTGATACAGAGACTCGTCATTCCCTATTGAGGTAAACAACCCTAAAGTTCACAACTTATAAATAAAGCCAGGCAATATAAGTTCATAGGCTACATTTGGATTGGGGTCTAGGACGATAACCCCGATAATCTATCTTTGATTCTAGACATTCCCTTGTTTGGTTGTCAAATAGTATAAGATTTTAATAATCTTCTAATACCAATACTAGTTACTGTTGATAATATAGGAGGTAATCTGATTACCTCAATTTTCTTAGGTATTTTAAGATTACTTGGTAATCTTGCTTTTGTTACAATTTTACCCTTCATTATTAAAATTTTTGGACAATAATGCCCTTATATTGAAATTAATTTATGTGAACTCTACCCTTACAATTTTACCCCTAAATAATTAAAGTTTTGGGCAATAATGCCCTTGTTTCTAAAACAATTTACAAGCCACCCAAGAGGACTACCACAGCTGGCCACAAGCACCACCACCACCACCACCAGCGGCTAACATCGCCAAAATGGTGCACGACTGGTTGAATCTGGTCGGTCATGCACCGATTTAGCCTTTTCTAGCCATAACAGTGGCAGTAAATGGCTAGATGGCCGTGGATTTGGGATTTTTTTGGATTGGGCAGCCGCCGATATTAAGCCCAATCTGGGTTGATTCCGGCATGACCATTGACCCCAACCACCACCATCTTACTCCTCTTGTTTTCCTTTTCAAATCCCACCAAAACCCATCACTAGAGCTGCCCCCAATTGTGGGCGAAGCCCACTGTTTTTCCACAATTTCCCTTTTTCTCGATGCTTTTCCGGTTGCATTTTCTACCAGAAATCACCCCCACTTGCACCAATCGACTCCCCTTCAACTCCTCTTCAAAACCCCTCAAAGAACATCTCCATTGCACTTCTCGATCGACTGTCGGCGGTGGTTTAGGCAACCAGTTGTGGCTTGGGTGGTTGGGGTGTTTTTGTTAAAAATTAAACTTTTATGTGGCTAGGGTGTTTTAGAAAAATCTCAAATGTAGGGGGTTAAAAGAAATGATTCAAAAAATAATATTATATTAATATTTTTAAAGGAGGACAATTTAGTAATCTATATAAATACCCACTAATTTATTCCTCTCGACCAAACATATTAATATAATATACCCACCAGTTTATTCCAATCTAACCAAACACAATTAATATAACATTCCCAGTAATACAACATTCCCTAAACCAAACACACCTTATGGGGGCATTTTGTTGGGGTTATCCCCTATTACTAAGGTAATGTTATCATTACCAGGTTTGGTTGTCAAGTAATATAAGATTTTTGTAATCTTGCAAAACCAATAGTAATTACTATTGGTTATATAGGAGGTAATTTGAATACCACAATTTTCTTAGGCATTTTAAGATTACTTGGTAATCTTATTTTTGTTACAGTTTTACTCTTAACTGTTAAAATTTTTAGACAATAATGCCCTTATTTTGAAAACAATTTACAAAAAATATTTATAGACTATTTTATCCTTATTTACAAAATTTTTAGGATATAAATACCTTGAACTTGAAAAAAATTACCCAAGATTGGTGGCCGAATCTGACCACCATTGCTGGAGGCTGAAGGCCCTCCACCATTGCCGATCGTCGACACTAGAATGACGCATGACTGGTTGGATCTGACCGATTAGGTGTAGATCTAGCCGTTTTCACACAGATGTACGGCTTCTGGCCGTTAACGACATCTAGATCTCTGGCCGTTGTCAACGAACAACAACTAGATTATGGTCATTAACGACAACCGCTTCTCTGGCCGTTAACAACGGCTAGAATTTGGTCATAGATTTGGCTGAGAACAACCAGATCAGTGCACGGTCAGCTAGATCTAGTAGGTCGTAAACTGTTTCAACCACTGCCGTCATGGCTAATAGTGGCTTGGCTGGGTGGGGGTGATTTTGCTAGAAATTAAACTTTTATATCTCTACGGTATTTTAGGAAAATCTCAAATGTAGAGGGTTAAAAGAATGATTCAAAAAATAATATTGTATTAATATTTAAAATGAGGGTGATTGAGTAATCTATATAACATACCCACAAATTTATTTTTCTCAACCAAACATATCAATATAACATACCCACTAATTTATTCCAACCTAAGCGAACACATTTCCCTAAACATTCTTAATAAACTTTAAGATAATTTATCTTTCCATTAATATAACATTCCATAAACCAAACACACCCTTAAGATTAAGAATTATATCTTTCATATATGACCACCTCATATAAACAATTCTTAACATATAATAAGCTTTCGAACCTTAAACACAGACATTATGAAGTAGAAGTAACACTTAATATAAACAGTATGAAATGAATTAAATATTTTTTTATTCATTTATATAGTTTGTTAACACCAAATTAATCTGATGCTTTACGGGCATAAGCCCATTAGATGTATCATGTATAATCTAAATTGTAAATTTAGTGAAATGAAAATTTTAATAGTATTATCAATTTTTTTTGACAATAACATCAGATTTTCAAGGATTTCATCATATTTGAATGAAAGATAAACATATGTGTATCACTAATTATATTTACAAGGTTGATATCTCTAATGAATGTCCATATCATCCATAAAGTCTAGCCTCTTCAGATAACTTTGGTAAGGTTTACTAGTGCAACCTAATAATAAAAGATAAAAAGTCATTTAAATTTTTGCATTGAAAACTATAAAATTGTCTTTGAGTGTTTAGTAGCACTAGCTAACGGGATATGATTTTTCTTAAAAAAAACTGTTGACGCTCGAGCCTAAGAATTCTCATAAATTTACTTTTTTTTTTTTTTTTCAATAACTTGCTTTGTCAGTCTTGTGACATCTCTGGGTTTACGACCAATGGACCAAGTGACACATGTACATCTTGCTAATGGTCTTATTATTCATATAACATTACTTTCTTAAATATAGATAAAATAAATTAATTCTCACTTTTAATTATATAAAATGTAAATATCAGTTATGTAAATAAGTTAATATTTAAATCTTAATTGCATATCCAATACTCAGATATTGATTTTAATAAAATTGTCAGAGCTTTTAAAAAACGTAGATTTTTTAGAATCTGCTCGTATCTCAATATAATAATTAAGAACAATACAAATATATCAATTTTTATTGACTATATATACCCTAACTAGCTAGTTGTGGTACAAACACTATTCCTTAAGTTTCTTATAATACTCAAGGTATGCATATTAATAAGTTTTATTAATTAAGTTCTTAGTATTTCTTGTTTGTTTTATTGTTGTTTTACAATATTTTCTCTATATAGTTATGATCAATTAACATAAATTCTATATAAAAGTGTGATACATTCTCCAACAAATTTTCTAAGTTAAATGCATATATCAAAATTGTAGTAATTTAAAGATTGACCACATGTTTTTCTTTAAATGTGTTATCATTTTCACAACATTTACTTGTAAATTAAACTCATTAGAAGTGCTTACTCAAGTGGTCTCTTCCTTTTAATTGTCTTAATTATAAGTAATCTAGTTTCTATATATATATATATTATTTATAACTTTACACTTTATAATGATAATATTTTAATTTTTCCTTTTAATTTACAGAAATTTTAAGTAGAAATGGAATTTGAAGAAGATTCAACTGCCTCAAAGAGAATGAAAATTGCTGAAAATGAAGACCCTATCACTACTAAGGTTCAATTTTCTGCCCTCATTGTTGATGATGACCCTCTCATCCGCAAAATTCACTCAGAAGTGTTGAAGTCACTTGGTTTCCAAACTCAAGTAGCTAAAAGTGGCAAAGAAGCTGTCGATCTTTACCGTGCTGGGGCTAATTTCGACATTGTGTTCATGGATATGCAAATGCCTGTGATGAACGGAATTGAGGTATATTTTGTAAATTATTTTATTTGATTTCATTGATAAGAAATTAATTTGGGAATATATATAATATTTGTGTCTTTATCAAGAATTTATAAGAAACTTTTATTTAAATAAAAAATTAGCTTTTTTTTTTTTTTTTTTTTTTCACAAATTTAAGCAAGTAATTAATGTTTCCCTTTAATTCATAAAACATTAACGTTCATAACATTTCAGTCTTTTCTTTTTCTTTCTAAGCAAAGATGTACGTGTTAAACGAATCCCATATATTATATATAGATGGGAAGATCAAGATTTATCAACATTACTAATGAAAAGGATTTATAGTATTGAGAAAAGGATATTTTAAAAAAATAGAAAAATCTTTGAACTGTCGTTTTACAATATACACAGGCAACAAGAGCTGCGAGGGATGGGGTGAGTACGAAGATTGTGGGTGTAAGCTCAGAGTGTTCGGAGTCTGAGATTGAAGCTTTCATCTTAGCTGGTCTGGATTTGTACTACGCCAAGCCATTAACCGATGCTATAAGATCATTCCTCTCGTCGAAGATCTCAAAATAAATCGGTCCCAAATGAAGGGCCGAAAAAGACTATGATCAATGGAATTTCACTGAACCTTGATTTTTTTTTGTCTATAGCTGGTCAATGGTTATCTTTTAAATAATTAGTGTCATTAGAAGTAAGAAACTAATAGCTGAAGTTCATGTAGCTTTGGCTAAGAATAAAGTGTCGTTTTATATTTTTTCTTTTATGTTATATAAGCATGTTGCTGGATGCATGCAAGTTTATGTGTTTTGTATGAACTATTGAACCAGTGATCAAGAGAAACAAATTTATTTTGACTGAATAATACTTCAAAGTTAATAACCCTTTTTTATTTAAGGTTAGAACGTAGAATACTATAGTGTTTTTGTTGATTTTGTTTTTGTAATTTTAATATTTAAAAACACATGGAATGTTGAAAACCTGTTTTGTACCCAAAAAAAAAAAAAAAAAAAAAAAAAAAAAAAAGAAAATAGAATAAAAGTTGTGTTAATTCAATTTGCGAAAACTCAAACGGATTGAGTTAATTCGAATGCTCAACTATCTGTGATTAATAGAGATGGAGCCACTAGGGGTGAGTGAGTGGGGGTTCATGCCCTCATTGAATTTGGAAAAATATTAATTATACCCTTCTATTCTATGCTTTAACATTAACACATCTTTATTTTATTTTGTTAAAATAGTCTAAATCCAAACATTATTACCATTTTTTATTTTATTTTGTTCTTTTTAATAGTTAAATATATTTTAATTTGTTTCTTTTACTATAAATCTAACACATAAAATAAATACAAAATTATTTTGTATAAGAATACACAAAATATTATTAAGAAAATTTAATAAACTAAAAAGTTCATTTTTCTTGATCAATAATAATATTAGAATTTTTTTTCTTTTAAATAATTCCCACCAGAAAAAAGAAAAAAAAAAACCTTGACTCCGTCATTGGAAATACTATTCCTCGAGTGAAATATATATATCCTTCAAAGTATGTGATTAAGAAAAAAAAAAAAAAAATCAAAATAGATAGACAGCAATGTTATCTTAGAATTTATTGTTAGTGATTGCTTTTTCCGCAATTCCCAACTCCCCCTCCCTCCCTCCTTTGAATCCTATTATTTAAAAACAGTAACTTTTTAACGGTGGAGAACTAAAACTGTCCGATTCTTGTCGCAGTTTCATTTTCCCGTGTTAAAAGCTATCTCTTCTTTTCTTTTTTCTTTTTCCACAACTGGTAATAAAATGGTCGAAATTGTTGTTTCTCTTGCCACAACAGTTGCCGAGTACTTGATTGGTCCATAGGGCACCAATTTAGATACTTGGGCAACTACAGGAGCAATTTTGAGAATTTCAAAAGTGAGCTTGAGAAGCTGATTGATGCTAGAGAAAGTGTGCAACATAGGTGTTAAAATGGTGAAGTCTGCGACGAAGTTTAGACCCAAGCAAAAACGATGTCGTTTCGTTCATTAATCAAGTTAATCTCATCCATTCAATTAAACATGATCCGACGGTTCCAGTCCAATCAGAAGTCAACAATATAAAAGGGAACTATTCACGCATTTTGGTAGACATATTGAGTACTAGGGTTTTCTCTTCGTTTTCTCTGTAAAGTCGTTTTATCTGGGTTAGGGTTTCATATTCATTCTGGTTCTTCTCTGTGTGAATCTTTCTAGAGTCTTGTTTTGAGGGCAGGTGTTTCTTGAAGGGTATAGAGTGCTCTAGTGATTGTTAGGATTTGCAGGATAAAGAGAAGTGAATGAGTGTGTGACTGTGTAGTTGACAGTGAAGAAGATTCGTCTGTAATTGTAATCTTTGAAGTGATTAATCCTAGTGCAGCGAGCTCCATATTCTGGAGTTCAACGTGGATGTAACTTGTTCTATATTGAACAAGTGAACCACGGTATATCTTGTGTTGTGTGTTTTTTGTTGTTCTTGCATTTTATGTTTTGTACTGTGACTAATCTTGCAGGTTGAAGGATTGGTATTGATTTACAACAGTGGTAACAGAGCCTTTTAGTTCTAAATTGAGTCTAGGGTTAGAAATCGTTCAACTCTTGACGAATTCGAAAATTAGGGTTTGTCAGATTTTGGGGGTTTTTTAATTTAAAGGTCCCTAGATCATTAGGCTATCAAATCTTGCTGAGTCTTGGGATTAATTCATGAGATTAGGTCACATACACAAGGGATCGACGAAAATAGGGCAAAATCAAAATTAGGGTTTTGTCAAGATTTAGGGGTTTTCTTTTCGAATTAGGGTTTCGAATATTTCTGAGTCTATTTAAGGGTATTTAGGCTAGAAAACCAGTAACCGCCTTAAAAACTGCCTGGCCGTATTTGGCAACCTCTGGTGTAACAAAGCCACGTACTCCTTAGACTGTTCTGTCTTGTCATTGTAAGTATGATGAACACTACCACACATGTAGAGATATCCCAGTATGATGGGAAGATGGATTTCAATACCTGGAAGAAAAAGATGAAGGCACTTTTATCCCACAACAAGGTGGGAATAGCATTGGAGAAAGATGAAACCAAGTGGTTAGAAGAAAAGACGAAAAAGAAAGCAGAGATAGATGAAGAAGCATACAATCTGATAATCATGAATTTATCATATAGTGTTATGCGAAAAGTGGATGGTCTTGACACACCAATAGAGCTCTAGGGTAAACTCGAAACTCTGTATGCATTGAAATCTGCTCCTAATTTAGCATTCTTGAAAGTTGCACTGTTTTCTTATAAAATGGATGCCTCTAAGTCATTAGAAGATAATTTAGATTAATTTCTAAAAATGACATTAGTGCTAAAAGGAACTGATCAGGAATTAGGAGATTCTAGTCTTGCAATGATTTTGTTAAATTCTCTTCTTGGTGAATATTTAGTTGTAAAGAATGCATTACAGTACACTGGAACAGTCCTTAGTGTAGATCTAATAATGGCTGGCTTAAAATCCAGAGAACTAGAGTTGAAAATACAAAAGAGAAATGGGAATAATCTCTTTGTAAAAGGAAAACAAGAAACTGGTCATTTTGGTAAAGATACTGGAAAGGGGGTTTAACAAAACTTAGGGCCAAAGAATAAGAAGAAAGGAAAAGCCTATAATAATAATAAGTCTAAATTAGAGACTAGAAAGTGCTTCCATTGCAACAAACCTGGTCACATAAAAAAGAATTGTTATGATTGGATTAGGAAGCAAAAGCAGAATAGTACAAAGTGTAACTTAGCATCCTCTAGTAGTAGCATTGAACTCACTGAAGCCCTTACTGTGTCCAGTTCTGAAATTGCTAATGAATGGGTGCTAGACTCAAGATGTTCTTTTCATATGAGCCCTAATAAAACCTGGTTTCAAAACCTTACAACTGGTGAACCTGAAATGGTGTTTATGGGAAATAATAACTCATGTAGGGTTCAAGGGATTGGTAACATCACTCTTAGACTTAAAAATGGCAGACTAATAATATTAACCAAAGTTAGGTACATACCAGAGCTTAAGCGTAATCTGATCTCATTAGGCACACTGGATGAAGCTGGCTGTAGCTATAGAGCTAAAAATGGTTGCATTACTGTTTACAAGAATGATCAAATTCTGTTTGAGGGTGTTAAAAGGCATGGTCTGTACATATTGAGTGGTCAATATCATTAATTGAATGTTAATTCAGCTTTTATATCTACTAACATTTCAATTGCAGAGAAAGGGCACTTAAGGATGGGCCATATAGGCCAAACTAGTATGAGCTACCTTAAAAAACAGGGTTATTTTGGTAATGAAAATGTGTCAGAGGATTCTATGAAACTTGTGTCATAGGTAAACAACAAAGGCTGAGCTTCCCAAAAAAAACTCACCTGTCTGTGAATTGTTTAGAATACCTTCATGCTGACTTATGGGGTCCTGGAATAGTCAAAACACATGGGGGGAACAATTATTTTTTAGCCATAGTGGATGATTTCAGTAGGAAGGTGTGGGTTTACCTTCTTAGGACCAAAGATGAGGCACTAAGTAAGTTTAAGAGTTGGAAGACTTTAGTAGAAAACCAACTAGAGAAAAAGGTGAAAGCACTCAGAACTGACAATGGTCTGGAATTTTGTAATGTTGAGTTTGATGCATACTATAGAGACCAGGGGATTATGAGACATAGGACAGTTAGGAGAACACCCCAGCAAAACAGAGTTGCTGAGAGGATGAATAGGACACTGTTAGAGAAGGTTAGGTGTCTCTTTTTCACAGCTGGACTACTTAAGTCTTTTGGGGGGAAGGCTTTAACCACAGCTACCTATTTGATAAATAGAACTCCCTCTAATGCAACTGGTTTTATGTGCCTTGAAGAAAAATGGACAGGAAGAAAACCTTCACTTAGCCACCTAAGAGTATTTGGCTGTGCAGCCTATGCACATACAATAGATGGAAAATTAGAACCCAGGTCCCTAAGATGTGTGTTTTTGGGGTATCAAGAAGGAACCAAAGGATATAGGCTGTGGGAGAGAGAAACTCTAGGGGTTAAGGTTATCATCAGTAGAGATGTTGTTTTTAACGAATGTGTGTTCCCTTGCAAGGTTACTAACAACAATGCAGGTACCTCAAGCCACCATGTGGAGACTCCACAGCAAACCGACAGTACTCAGTTTGAGGTGGAGTCAACAAGGCAACATGAGCCTGAGACCAATACTGATAAACCAGAATATGAAATTGAGCACACTACAACTAATACTGAACTTGATGGTGAAGATGAAAATGAGGAAAACATTGACAATGCCCAACAAGATGATCTGGCTCAGTACCAACTGGCCAGAGATAGAACAAGAAGGGAAATAAGACCACCAGCAAGGTTCAGTTATGCCGACCTCATCTACATAGCCCTGTTGGCTGGTGTCGAGATCTAGAGGACAGAACCTGACTCTTATGAATAGGCAACCAACTCAAAAGACAGAAAAAATTGGCTCACTGCCATGAATGAGGAGATGGACTCCCTGAGGCAGAACAAAACCTGGATTCTGGTCCCAAAACCCAAAGATGTCAAACTGGTGGA